TTAAGATTCAGTTTTATTTCTCATTATCCGAGTCTGGTTTGATTGGTAACGAATTAAACTGATTTCCCTGAGTCAAGTCTGTTTTGCCTGTGACAGTAATTGGTGGAATGATCTCTCCTTGCCCTTATCTCTACCCATGAGAAAAAGCTTACAGAAAACTTTCATTAAACCATGCTATTCTCCATCTTACCATCACCTCTTACACTCTTGATCGGATGGCAGATGTCACTCTTGAGCATGAATCCTTGTGCGAACTTTGTAGATGGTTATTAAATATTTGGCTGCCAGCATGGATGAGGTGGCACTGATTCTGCAATTTATTCTGTGTTTTAAAGAAATAACGTTATTGGAACAGTAACCAGTGCAGAATAATCACCAAGGTTAGGTTCTAAATTTTAAGCTGTCATTCAAAAATTATCTGCTCCTGTAAAGATTTTAGTATCTAGACTACTTGATTGGGTTTTCTTATGCTTATTATTCTATATTCAAATTTTGGAAGAAATCATATTAGTCAGTCAAGATGTAGAATTCAAAAAATTAAATACGTCTCAGCTATGAAAGAGCTAATATGAGAAAGATGCTACTCTCTTATATAGTAGCAAAAGCCTAATTTGGATAGTTCTCCAAAGTTTAAACTTGAAAGTTACATGTGCAGGAAAGGCACAGTTATGTTATGGTGTTCCAATCTGTTTACATTTGCAGTTCAACTTAAATCTAAGTTTAAATCAAATTTGAATTACCATAAGGGAGATGACATTTGAACCTTTTATGAAACCTTATTTGTAGCCCTAAATATATTGAACCATCTATTCCAGTTCACTTTCTAAGTGTTGCTCATGCCTTTTTTTTGCATAATTCCATTTACTGAAGCCAGAACATTCCTGGTTTTGCTGGCTATAGCTGTACAGTTGATGTTCTCCAGCCCAGCTAAATTATTTTCCTGTACTCCTAGATCAGAACATCTGTATTGTTGAGTAAGAGAAGTACCTCACTCACTGTTCCCCTGTCCATACCCAGACTTTTCCAGTGAAGTGCTGCTTGCTTGAAACAAAGCTACAAAATTTTCAAACACTTAAGTAGTGCAGACAATGATGTATCAGTGCTTAAGCCAGTGTCTAAACTAGAGCAATATTCCTCCAGTCTCTCGCAATTTATCTCTGTTTTATTCAGTTGTCCTAACAGAATTAGCTTTTTCTAATGGAAGAAATTTTCAGCTAGATCTCTGTCTCTCTGAAGAGTCAAAGCTCATTCAAATGGCAAAATGCAGGTTCTAGCAGTGCTGTCTCGAGCGGAAGAGGCAAAGTTAAAATTGTACTGTGATGAGTCTACTGCTTACGCTATTAGGAGTCTGCAAAGTAATTCAGAAATAACCATGAACACCAATGTAACTGCAAAAGTTTTTTCAGAGTTGGAAGAACAGTTTTAATAAAAGAAGGGAACAGTTTACTAATGATAAGGAACCACTCTAAGTCAGATTAACAAGTTGCATTGCAGGGAAACGCTTTTAAACAGTGTCATGTATTAAAATCACACATAGATAGTTATGATACATTGATGAGAACTTTGTTTTTCTATTTATCCTTCTAGATCATTCATTATGGTTATACTGGTAATCTTTATAAATATTACTTCAGGCATATGCGGCTTTGTAGGAATGCAATACCAACCTGCAGACTTTAATGCTGAGTTGTCCTAGGAGGTCATTTAACTATTCATTTCAATCCAGAACTGCCTGTTAAGCAAAATATGCTGATTGATTATGTTTCTACTAAATGTATGTACAGAACCAAATATATGCATGACTTTTTAATACAACATCAAAGTGAAATTTTACATGGAAGAATTTCAGAAATTTCAAGGTTGAACAGCCAAAGGGTTATTAACTTTCACTCTAGTGCTTATGGATGTATAGTGAAAAAAATCACTTTTTCTTTATTATTGGTATTGACCAATTTTGTTATGTGGAACACCTTTGTTATGCATGTTATTACTAGGAAAGAAAAAACATCTGTAGTGATAGGTAAGGCAGGTGAGCCCTGGAAGATTTTCTGCCATGTTATGAACCACAAATTAAGAGTTGGACAATCACTTCAATAGTGTTCCATTACATGATTGCACTGAGCAATAAAGTATGCTCATCAGCATACTGATAAAAATGTAGTAATGAGCATTACTGGACTTTTGTCACTTCTATGCAGTAAAAGATTTGTATCAAAAAGCTTTGTATCACTGTATATATGTTATGCTTTTTTTTTTTAGGAGCTTATTTTAATGCAAATGCAGAAAGAAATAAGGTTGCTATGGGAACACTAACTCTTAATTCTTTGATGTGTGCATGTAACGCAACAAATGTAGTATTCCACTAAGCCTGTCTTTTGCATATAATTTTCAGTGCATTTTCAGAGAAAGAATGATTTGGTAAACAATGAGGGGAATGGATGGAAAGAACTGAAATATAAGAAAGAATTCTATAGGACATTAAGAGGTATCTATAGTTCGTGGAAAAAAAAAATGAAAAGAATATGCCTAGTTTCTGTTTCTTGAAAATTTCCAAACTAGATGATATTCTAAGCTTATTTCATAAAATTTCTGTGAGCTGAAAACGTATATTACTAATGCTCTTGGCTACTGGTTTTCAGGTATATTAATTGAAAACCTGAGGACAGTGAAGTGAATTTTTAGAGTCAACTCTCTTACATAATGCTAGAAAGAATTAACAGTTATGTAGCCAATAGAGATAAAATTGCATAACTATCTGATAAACTGCACCTATTATGTGCACTTGACCTTCCAGACTTCACTGTGTCATTATCCTTTTCCCCTACTGCTTTCCCATTCTAGCAGTGTTTGAAAAATGGAACAATCATAAAATATATCTAAGATACTTGTTTGGATTTTGTTCTAAATTACCCTTACCTGGGATACAGAATCGCTAGTACCTAGTCCAGCCCTGGGCCTGATGCACATGGATAGTTTAGTACCTTACACCTCTGCAAAGAGAAAGCTGAAAATGTTCCACATCTGTAAATGGGTCCATCTCTGCAGTGGGACAGACAACATCTGCTTACATATTTTTCAGCTGTTTATATTTTTTCACATTGCGTAGCTCTCTAGGATCCATTATGCAGCTATTAATTTAGAGATCTACCTCTTTAAGCAAAAGCTATGTTAGGCCTTTTTTTGTCCATCTCTTCTACATGTGTTTGAAATTATATCAATCAAGGTTTCCACCTTGGCAGGTGCAGTTATCAAGAAAAAAAAAATTATTTATGTGATATTTAAACAATCTAAAACTTTTTCCAGTAGATTTTTGATAATAAATCTGACCTATCCAGAATATAGTTAGGCAAGGAATTAATTATCTCAAATTCCTTCCTAGGCTGTCTTACAAATTATGTATGCCTATATCAATACCTGCTCAAACATATTTTTACATGCATAATTTCAAATATTTATGTTTTGATGTTGCTCCTTGTGGTTATCTGCTAAGATTTTATTCTTTCTTTGACTCTTGAAGAACATAGAAGAAAGAAAGGGATATTGACTGTTATTGTATATGTAACATGTATGTTATATGTATTGTATATGTAACATATATCATTTACGTGATGTATCAGTACAGATTGATAGTCCTTTCTCTTGCAGTAAAACCAAGATAAAGTATTAGTTCTTAGCATTTTGTTGGTGAAGCATTGAAAATTTAAAGTATAAGTCTATGAATTTTGACAGCATCAGACCCCATTTCCATTTTTTACTGTAAACTTTAAAAATGAAATTTGTAGTGATTCCTAATTTGAATTTAATTGTCCAAGAAATTATTGGTCAGTTGCTTTAGGCATTACAAAAATAGCTATATAAGACAAAAATGTTATTGAATTCAATAGACATAGGAAAGGTCAATAATTCTCATTAAATTTCTTAGAAACCTCATCTAGCATGAGCTAACTACCACTGAAATTCAGCTCTGAGTTGCAGGATCTAGATCCATAGTTGTCTTTGTTTCTACTTCTCTGGAAAATACTTCAAATCAAAAGTAATTGCACCAAATATTAAAAAGAAAAAAAAAATCAAACCTCCTGATTATTTTAAAGTAATGTTTCTACCTGTCATATTCCTATGCAGCTTTGTATGATTTGAAGATGATTAACTGCAGTATCTTTCTGAGTAATGCTGGAGGTAAAAGACGTAAATGGAGGTAAATGCACTGCAGATACTGTAGTTGATCGTTTAAATCATATAAGGTACTTCATACAAAGTTATTCAATTATTCAAAGTTAGTCAGACTGTCCAAACACACTCCTTTTCTAACCTTAGTATCCTGCATTATTCTAGGAATCATTTGTTAATAATGATATTTTAAAACAAACATATGTTCTTAGTACAGGAATAACCGAGGTTTTATTAAGGAGCAAAAAACCAAAAATAGGTATTTTCTCTTTTTTTTTTTTTTTTTAGGTTAGGTCTTTTATCATATAAAACTACACTTTGAAAGTTAATTTGCAAAAAAAAATAATATTATTCAATGAAGTAAAAAATGGTGGTGGGGGAAAGGAGAAAGGATTAAAGATAGATTATACATTTTGGTCCAGGGAGAAGCATGGCTGTATGAATGAAAGACTACCGTAGGCATCAAGAGTGTTTCTGAAACACAGTTTTCCTTCTTCTTCATTCCTGAATAATAATTTATTACTTGCCTAAAACAGCAGCAGTTTTTACTGGCCTCTCTTGTGTACCTGTCTCTCCTTATTCTCTGCCTCCTTGTTCTGGAAACAGTTTAAATGGGCCCGATACAGTTCCTGTTCCCCAGGGAACAGGGAAGCCTTGCAAGATTATAAATTAGCATTTTTAATCTGACATGTAGACAAATGAGAATGTGTGCAATAGAATGGAGTGTTTTTTTCAATACTGTATGTTTATCAGGAGTGTGAATACTTAATGAGACCATTTTTTGTTGTAGGTAATTCAGATTGTCAGTGCTGTTGACAAAGATGATCCTAAAAATGGGCATTATTTCCTGTACAGTCTTCTTCCTGAAATGGTAAACAATCCAAATTTCACCATCAAGAAAAATGAAGGTAAATATAAAACATATATAATGGGTGTCTGAACAGCTTAGTTTTGAATTGCTTTGTTGACTTCCAGTTACTTTACCAGTTTTTCCCTTGGGCAATTACAATGTAGATAATCTGTTTAATGATACCTTCTTAATATCTTTTAAGCTATTTCCAATATCTTTACAGTAGATAAGAACAAAGTAAAATGAATACTGAATTTAGATCCAGAAGACAGCTCACTGGCTTAAAGAAAATGAAAGGATGGATTTACTCCCTGTTTTATTTCTGTTAATTTGAAATTCCAGAGATACTCTGTAAGATGAAAATCTGAAACTATGTTGATAAATAAATGTTGATCCTACATTGACTGGATATAGATGGGAACATAAAATTAAGTATCTACTAAATCCCCCAAAGGAAACACATTTTCAGCCTGTTTTTTGTGTATATAAAGGTTCCAAAGTATTTCAGTTAGGCATTTTTACTAGAAAGAGAAATCTGCTAGGTCAGCAAAGCCCAGGAGGGCAATTTGTATCACTACACTTTCAAGCACTTCTGGAAGGGCATAATGTCATTTTGTAGTACTATAGAAGTGAAATTTCATGCGTGACGGAAAAAAAGACCCACTTAATATTGTTGAGCAATAAATTTACACTGATCTTTTTCTTTGGCACATATATATATTTGAAGGTCATATAAGAAAGAGCTAGGAATGATCACAAGGATGCTGTAAACAGTGCTTTATCTATTTGTACTTACTTGAATATTCAGAAAAGTTTTTCCATCTCTGCTTTTTTTTTTTTAAATAAAACACTACCGTGTCAGGAATTCTAGTCAAAATTCAGTCTCTTATTTCTCTTATTTGAAATGATAATGAAGGAAATCCCTATTTAGTCCATTACTAATAGGAAGATGTGTGTGTGAGGTGTATGTGCATGAGTGTAAAAGTAATACATGGTATGTCAAATAAAGAGAAAATGTTGTTTTCAATTTTTATTCTAGCTGTTCCAACCAAGAGGAATGATGGCCTCATTTTGTTAAATGATACTATAAAAACCTAAATTCTTAAATCTGCTTAAATATATCCTGAATTTTTGTTTTCATTAGATATGTTTTCCTCTTTTAGCAAAGTGTGTCTCTTTATAGTTGTACTTTCGTGTAGGAAATACATCTCTGTATGTTTTCTCCACTTACAGGAGAAGATAAAACAAACCTCTTCAAAACGCAGTTCATAATCATCAATAGTGTAACACAAATTGACTTAAGCATCCTACATGTGAGGTGGTTTGCTTTGCACAGCATGACAAAGTAAAAAAGCCTTAGCATTTCTCTTCATGTGTAAATACTTAGCTCACATCACTAATTAGCCTTGTCCTTCCAATCTGTTACCCATTGAAGACCCACTCTTACTTCTAGTTACAGCCAATGGCAAAATGACTCCTGGTCTGAGTGGGAGCAAGGAAGCTTTCTATATAACATGGTCTAGAAAATTAAGTCTGGTTTTGTTACAACATTGCCACTCAGTTTTACAGAGTCTTTAATGCATTTGAATCAGTTAAATGTGTAAATCCTCATAGAACAACCAACTGAAATATCTTGAAATTAAAAATCCACTTGAAGAGACTTTTCTGATTTAATCTTTCAGAATCTAAGAATAAAATCCCAACTATGCATACCATCTTTTTCTATCAAGATTGCTCAGTCAGGGATGCAGTCCATGGCTGATGCTAGAACATAATCTCCCACAGGAAACAAATATTCCTGTCAGAGCCAAAATCAGGGTATAATTTGGTTGAGGTGAGGTTTTGTGTCATTTAAAAATCATAAATCTTTAGTAAGTCTTTATTCAGTTATGCCACTTAAACAATTAACTTGACCGTGACTTTGTCTTGCATATATCCGCTAGATAAGCATGAGAGTTTATCCTTGTTGAAAAAACTCCAGTATGCCTAAAAAAACTGAACTCACAAGTCAAATTTCTCCTTAGTTGTACTAATGAGGGTCTGGGCTGTCCAAAAGCCAGTTTGGTATAGTTTCTTAGAAGCAATGTAAGAAAATGCCTGTAACAAACCCTGCTCTCATTTCTGGAGAATTATGTTTCTAAGGATCGGGTCAGTGTACCACCCGCTTGGGCTTGGAACAGAAAAATGTTTCTTCATGCTGGCGGGCAAAATCTTTGACCTCTTCCTGAATATGACCTCAGCCTCAACTTCCTCCCATATTCTTGGCCCTGCCAAATTCTCTGAGGCAGCAGAGACTGACTTGATGGCTACTGAAAAAATGCTGTCCTCTTACAGATATTATAAATGGATTGCATTTTCTCAGGAAACCTAATATAGAAACCCAATCTTTTATTTGCTAGAATTAGGTTTTTTTTTTTCTTTATTTAAATGATTTTTCTTATCTTACCTTTCTCCAAAATTCTCTCAAGTGCAGAGATAAACAAAAGTATCCCTCCTCAAGAACGTTTGTGAAATGATATTAAACTTTTGGATTCTTCTTTTGTGCTTTAGGTAACATTGTGGCATTTGGCAATTACTTCCCTACTTCACGAAGTAATGATGTTTATCTGATCTGGTGGCACTAGTACGCAAACAGTGCAGTTTGGCATCTGCCAGAGGAAGAAAGCCGTGATGTTCTGTTTCTGTCCCTCATACTAAAGAATATATGATGCATGTATTTTGGAATTTTCTCTTGCTATATGGAACATAATCATAACCATTAATTAATTTAGTTTGTTGCCTACAGGCTAATTCTATTGTTTAAACTTTCCAGATTGCCCAAAGGCAAATTCACATGATACTTCAGTAATTAACTGTGCTGCCCAGATACACTACAAATACTATGATTGGCTATGTTGTTATTGCCAAATATGTTTAACTGAGTGACACAACAGTGTATTTTCATCAGAAACCACAAAAACCCCACTTATCCTAAGATTATATTATGTATTATAGAAATTATCCTGTGATCATAGCAGAATCTGTTCCTTGACATGATATACTGCTATCCTGTATTTGCTTGGTCTGTTAAATTTGCATATATACAGTCCCTTCTGTAGACAAGATGCCCAAAACTGTAGAGGCTGTAATGCCTTTCTGATGTAAGTAGTGTAAAAACGTAAGTTTAAATGTCATCATACATCTCACTGTGAATGTCTGTAGATCACCTCTTCGCAGTCTTTATTTTTCATACCTCCTGCTCTGTTCTTTCTGTTTTCTGAGCCCAGTTTTCTGTTACTGAGTATTTTTTCTTAGGCTTTGTGCCTTGCTAAATGGGCAGCTAGTGATAATCTGAAGTAAAGCAATCCTACTCTCTCAAACTGTAATGCAAGGAACACTGATCATTTAGATTGCCAGATGCATAAACTTTTATCCCTTCACAAGAGATAATAAAATTATATAATAAAAATATAAGAAGTTAATGCAACATGAAAAACATGCTATGTTTTCTGTGTTAGTCCCGGTGACTAAACCTGTGACTCCGTGACATAACAAATTCTTGACTGCATAAACTCATATAGACTGTCTGGTCACTTACTTTTCACATGTCTTTGCGCTGGGTTTCTGCATAGGAGTAGAAATAGGAAGAATGAAAATAAATGTTTTGTGTAGTGTGTCTGACAAACTTCAAACCAGAAAAAACCTAAAACTTCAGATGAAAATATCTGATGTTTAGACAGGTGTGGATACTCTCTAGCAATGTGTTGTAAATTCCTTAGCTGAATGGAATTAACCCTTCCAAAAAGCTGTGGGATCACAATAATTGACAAAAACCTGACAGGCATTTAGACAACTGATAAGGACTTTGTACTATCATGGCATCAGTAAGTTGAAATGAGACCTCTGGAAATGGAATTAGCATTTGTTGACAGTCTTTTTTCAGGTGAGTGGTCTTCACAAAGCATTACCTAAAATCTAATGCCAGTACATGGATCATCTCCTGCATCCCAAACAATACATTCACAGCAATACCTGTTTTCAGCATTGAATTCCTAACATTCTTATGGTTTCCTTAGGTTGTTCAAGTGAGAACAGAATTTTGTGATAAAAGAGTTTTGACATATAAACATTTTGATATGCTGCCAATGCAATTTTTACTTTCAAAAACTAGCAAATACATCTTTGCCATAAAGAGACTTAAAGTTTTTCCCCAAAGATGTTTCCATTGCTATTCCATTTTTCTTCTGCCAAATTCTGTTTCCTAAAGGAAAAAAACCCAAATCAAATGTTTTACAGTGCCTTTGGATACAGTAACTCTTCTGACAGAAGAAATGGCACATCTCTACTGTATAAATGTGATATTACATACCTCTTACTAGGGCTTATGTAGTACAAGCAATCACAGGATTGTTTAGAACATGGTCCGGCCTTATCTTTGGGTTAAGAGAACCTTATGACATGTGTTCGTATTCATGCAGAAGTCAAATAGCCTTATAAGTAATCAGCCTCCCCTCTCCCCAGAATATTCAGTGTCCATCTGGTGATTTGAGCTATGAATTTGGGCCAAACTGGTTTTAGAGAGTGCATAGTAAAGAGGTTTGTTTTCTTTTTAAATTGAAGCATTATGTATACTTCAGTGATAAACTATCCTGTTTGTTCTCTATAATGAACTTTAGTGTTTATTCTCAGCCATGCTTAGTCTATTATACCTATGATACCTATAATAGCTCCCAGAATGTTCATGTTTAAATGTCCATTTCTTTTGTTCTTTCCATCCAGCAAGTTTAATGTGTCATTTATGTCCTCATTGTACTGCCTTGAAAGTATAGGCAATGTGTCATGTTTTTAAAAGGAAATAGCCTGGTATAATCACTTCAGTCACTACCTGGCTTGCATGCCTTTGTATAATATTGCACATCTTTAAAATATTCTCTATTTCTCATCACCTCTTTACCATTAATAAGTATTTCTAAACTATTATGAAATAGCCGAAGACAATTACATGCAACCTGTCTTTTAGATATCCCAAATAATAAAAACAAATGATCAACACTACTTCATTTTTGAGAGTACTTCTGT